TTAGTAAGTAGAATAGGGTTTTGGGCCCATTGTACTATGTTAAAAAAATGACACCCCCAAAAACAACAGTATTGGTAATTCTTTAGTGCCCTACATTAGTTCCTTTGAGCTTCAAGGGTCCTTTAAAGGGTTGTATCGGCCCTAAACCCTAGACCCCAAGCCCTGAAATTCAGGTTCTCTTAGGATTTCGGGGTCTGGGTCTCACCCTTTTGTCCGTCAGGGTTGGGTGGTTTGTGATTTCATGCTCCGTGCTTTCGGATTCGGGGTTCAGGGTTTAGGGTTTACCTTTTGACCTTAACCCCAAATAACCTACATTTTTAAGGACATATAGAAAGAAATCATAGCGTTTAGGGGTTTAGGCTTTAGGGTTTAGTATATGGGTATTCTGAGCGCACTATCGGATTTTACAGCCGTGTATAAGGGTTCGACAAGGTCTGTAAGGGGATTAGTAGAGGCTTGGATCTCCGTAGAGCACTGGTCCGAAAGATTCTAAAGAGAAAGACTGCCAAGCCTGGGAAGACTAAGCCTAAGCCCCTCAGAATCTAAAGCCTGCAAGAGCTACCTTTTTAGAGTTCCTTCCTAAACCCTAAACCCTCAACCCTTTTTTTCCGTATATTTTCCCATATACTAAACCCCAAACCCCAAATCGACAACCCTTATGATACCCGAAACCCAGGCACAAGTTCCCCAAGGGCCTTCTCTGGGACCTTCCTGTCCTTCCTAGTCGCTGCCTTGGTTTAATGTAAGGCATTAAATATTTACCATTACTACCCTTTTTTTGGGGGTGTCATCATTATAATTATAGTATAATGGGCCCCAAAGCCCTGTTCTAATTATTAAGGCCCCTATATTACATAACTTCGGTTCGTGGCGACACATATCTTATGCGGTGCATTCTGCTCCGCATACCATATTTTGTTCAGTATATTGCCCTATATTGTCCTAGACGGCACAGGTCGAACACATAAAACTGGAATTGCGTCCATTCCTCAGGCCCCAGAACGGAAACAGTGCGACGTCCTACCCTACAGCTCACTTTACAGCTGGAATCCACCTCAGCCGGGTACACACAAACCCCTACATTGCAGTCCTAGCCAAAAGCTTTAGAAGCCTACATCCCTGGACCCAGCAAGTTTGCCAGCAAGCCTCCTGAACCCTGAAACACTCCAGCACCTTACACCCCTAAACCCTAAACCCTAAACCCTAAACCCTAAACCCTAAACCCTAAACCCTAAACCCTAAACCCTAAACCCTAAACCGAAACCTACAGACCCCTGAATCTGATAATCTGGAAACCCACAAACCCTTAGCCTTCAAAGTTCCTAAAGCTTAAAGCCTCAAAGTTTTCCGAGGCCAACAAAGCAACAAGTCTGAAAACCCTATAGACCTCAAACACCAAAATCAAGCTTCACAGAGGCCGAAAACCTTACAGTGGGAATCTTAAACCCTGAATCCCCCTTTCTAACTTTCCTCGGAAACCCCTCTTGTACACTCCCCTAAACCCTAAAATCTCAACCCTAACTTTCCTCGGAAACCCCTCTTATACACTCCCCTAAACCCCGCAAGGCTTCGGACCCTGTCTGCCAGAGATCGTTGGGCTTCGGGCAGGGCGAGACACCACGACGGAGAAAAGTCAAACTCGGGCGTTAGGGTTTAGGGTTTAGGGCTTCGGGTTCAGGGCCTAAGGTGTAGGGTTTGTATTATCTGCTTAGGGCTCAGAGCTGGGGTCTTCCGGGCTTCAAAACTTAGACTTGAGCTTTCGGGCTCAAGGTGTAGGGTTTAAGGTATGCAGCAGTTTGGACCCCCTGGGCGTAAACTGCAGGGAAAGCTGGTCCACTCAGTTTGTTCAAGGCGTTTGGGCCATTTCCCTACACCCAAGCCCCTGCTCTGGTGGACACCTGCCCTAAACCCCCACACCTTACCTACACAAAAAGCAGGGTTTAGGGTTTAGGGTTTAGGGTTCACACATCCCCAACCCCGCAACAAACAAGCTTTGCGACCCTGCGCCGCTGGCTGCCCCTTGGCTCAAAGAGGGGGGGTCCTTCACCGGAAGGATGCCCACCATCCCCCAGGTTCAACGGAGCGGCCAGGCCAGCTTGATATCGACGTCAGTCTGCAGGAACACACGCATAGTGGCACACACACACACACACACACACATATATATATATATATATATATATATATTTATAGATACACACACTTATTTGTTTATTTTGAATAAGGTTGGGAAGCCCTGGGTTAAGTTTAAGGAGGTTAGCCCACCAGAGCCAGCGAGAGTGTGAAATGAGAGTTAATTCTGCGGCGCAAATCCGGTCTTAAGCATTCCGGTTCAGCTGAGTCGTTCCGAACCTCGGAGCGGTTCAGAACGGTTCGGAACGGAACGGCTCGGGACGGTTCGGGACGAATCGGGACGGTTCAGAACGGTTTGAGACGTTCGGTCGGAGCGGTGCGGAACGGTTCGTAAAACGGTTCGGGACGGTTCGGAACGGTTAGCCCAGCGCCGCCCAGTCGATCGGCCGGTGTTGACTCGGCCTCCGCCTGCCAAATTCCGGTGTCGACGCACCGTCGAAGAGCACCCAAAACAATCCAGACCCTGCCATTATCACAAAATCAGCGTGTTGTAAAGCGCGCGTCAGCCTTGCTCCCAAACATGGCTTGCACCGGAAAGTGCGATAGTCTTAAGCATTCCTAGGACTCCTAAGAGATTGGTATAGACAGAGAAAAACACATGAGATGATATGTGACAGCACTGCGTGACTTTCACGGCCATACCGGGTTGAGCCACCTTCCCTAGAGGTATTGACACTTCGGATATCGTCACAACTGGAACCGGGACCGCCTGTAGCAGTGAAATGTCAGAGCCATTCAAGCGGCAGTCAGCCTGTGCTTTAGGCGTCGCTTGCTTCTTTCAAAGCCAAAGCATGGCACAACATTTTTGAAAGTTATCCATGAATGCTCTCCCAATTACTTAGATGAAGGTCGCAGCCTGAAGCCAGTCCAATTGTCCATAGTAAGGCTTGAGCGTTACAAGTTCCTACGAGATTTGAGTTCGTCTGAAACCAGGCTGCGATGCGCGCCTTGCCCGGCCCTGAAGTGAGTTAGCCAGCAGAGGTCACGTGATGTATGGTGTTCGAGAACGAATCCTCTTGACACGTTGTTCGGCTTCGATTCCTGTCGCTGCTATGGGACGTACAACCTCAGGGTCCTTGTCAATTGGGAGGCTGTTCTCCTTCATGCGGATGCATGCAACACTCTCAGACAGGGCGATAGCAGTCCCATTCAATCCATTTAAGTCCTCTCTCCCACACCATTACAATATGCACCTCTATACACGTACCTGTCGCCGTCGCGCACCCACAAGCCAAGATTCCGAGCTGTTCTATGAACACGGGCCGTGCCACCCAAGCCGAGGCGAAGCAACCCTAAAACCACAAAATCCATTTAATCAATAAAAAAGGGAAACCCGAAACCGTACGGTTCAGCTTAGAAACAAAACCTCGCACGTTTCGATTGGACTAAGGTGCCTTTTGCTGGTAATCTCCAGCGCCGGAGCTTACGACAGGCACCATGCCCTTTTTTCGCCCGAGAAGCGCAGTAGGCAAAGCTTAAGCTCCAGATGTATTTAGATCTTATAGGGTTTCAGTATTTAACGTTTGGGTTTAGGGTTTTAGGGTCGCCTGGTCCTGCTTCCACGAGACCTTACGGTGGACAGCTTCCTGACGCTGCATGGGTCCGAACGACCAAGTTCCCAAGCCCGAGCTGGATCCCGACTGGGCCTGATCCATGGGGCGCCATGGAATGGAAAGCTAGCACGCCATGAGAATCATCTGAGAAAGCGCCATCTTTCATGGCCACACAAACCTTTCTTCCTCTGAACAAGGAACCTCGCATGTGGAAGAACCGACATCCTCGGAATCAGGGTGTAATCTTGGAGCAAGGCTAGCATTGCTTGCATCATGATGTTGATGCTGCTTAGCCACGCCATCAGCACGGCAGCCATGTCATCATCGTCGTCGTCATCACCATCGCCATCGTCATCAGCACAATAATTACAGCCATCATGTGTATCGTCAGCATCACCACGAATTCCAGAAGCAGACGTTCCTGCCTTGCTGGCCTTCTGAGATAGCGAAGCTTGACTTGTACAATTCCTCTGACTATCGCCTTTAATCCCAGAAACGTCAGCTTACTACCCAAGAAGTTCCTAAAGCCACATTTCTCATAGTCGGATACCATCCCGAGATCGCTCCGGGGTCGTCGGCAGTCGCCCGGCACTCACCTGTCTTTAGGGGGGCTGCCTGTGGTCAGGCAATGCAAGGTGTGGAGTGTGGCAGGGTTTAGGGCTTCCTCTCCGAGTCCTTGAGGCGACAATTCCTGAAAAGTTTAGGGTTTAGGGTTTAGGGTTTAGGGTTTAGGGTTTAGGTGGGTGCTTCAAGTCGTTCAATGAGACTTATTTACACGCTACACTTCCGTGATCTATTATACACACAGATGTCCGAGGCAAGCCAGGGAAAGGCTACGTATGACTGCACAACCCGGTAGACTGTCTGGTGCTTAGTAGGGAATGGGGGAATGGGTAATAGGGACTACCACAAGGGACCTTAAGGGACTATCATAGGAATCCATTCCCCCATTCCCTACTAAGCACCAGACAGTAGACAGGACATATTGTGCTCTTACCCTACGCTTCAAGGGACCTCATTATTGGGTCCTTAAGGGGTCTAGGGCCCTAACTATAAGGTCCTTGGAAGCATTGGGTTATGCAGAGATCCAGACGACGCAATCAATCTTGACAACATCGAAGAATGCAGCCATTTTTATCGTTCGTACCCACAAGCAAGCGCTAAGCGTATACTGAATTCCACAACCCACTGGCGGCTGTGAGCAGCTTCTAGATAGAGCTGATCACTTATCGCAGTGGGCTCTGATGGCTCTGCAGAGTTTGTTGGAGGTTGACCTTTCTAGGCCTTTGATTTCCGTCGAAGTAAGTCGTCAAATCACAGCACAGGTGCAAACGCAGGAAGCGTGGTGACGGAGCGACTATACTGGTAGGGCGGAGGGCGGTTGTCAGCGCTTTGGAGCTGGGACGCCTCTCTGCCGCTTCTCTTGTGAGTCGCCTCTGGAATGCGTTTTTACTGGAGGATCGGCAGATTTCTCGGTATCGGTGCCAGATTGGGACAAGAAGGCAGCTCAACATAGCTGCCTTCCAGTCCGCGACCTAAACCCAAAATGATAAAGGGTTTAGGGTTGAGAGTGAAAGTTATGAGGCCCTGCCACTGCCAGATCGACTCGCAGCACTGGACCCGACCAACAAGGCCAGCAAAGTTTCGTCCCATGTTTCAAAGATCTGTTTCATGCCCAGGAGCAGCGCATGTGTACACTTCGCGAATCTCTACGACTCTCTGGACATACAACCCAAGCCTAGATGTAAGAGCGCGCACACGATGAGGAAATTCAGACAGACAGCACGAGCGACAGAAACATGCACGAATGTCTGCGTGAGCTGTTGTGTACATGCATGCAGTTTGCTTCAGCCCGCGAGGCATGGGATGGTGTTGACAAAGTGCTGATGACAATGTTGATGATGATGATGATGATGACGATGATGATGATGATGATGATGATGACACATAGAACTGTTGTCACGATTCGCTACAGTGCGCTCTCCTATGACCATTATTTCGGTCCTGATGCTTACTTTGGGCCTTTGGTCACCAAAGGAGCACACACTCACCAATATCATCACCAACGCCACCTCCTTGCGACAGAAGTGAAGTGACGTCGACGACTTGCGCAGGAGCTCCTGCCACCACTATGACAACTCCTGTGTACCCCTACTACTGCTACTGTACTGCTAATGCTACTGCTGCTGCTGCTGCTGCTGCTGCTGCTGCTGCTACTGCTGCTGCTGCTACTGCTACTGCTTCTCATGCTGCTGCTGATGCTTCTGCTGCGGTACTGTTACTGCTACCACCCCCACCACCAGCAC